TTCTGAGGGTGCAGGGAGTCAGGACATCTAGGTTCCTGGGCCTGGGTGTCAGCTGGAGGAGGGTGGTCTTCAGACCACTGCACAATCCTATGCTGCACTGTGTGTCGCTTACCTGCTTGCCTTTGCTAAGTCTGCTTCCTCATCTCTAAAATGGGAACGACAGTCCCTGCATATAGGATTGATATGAGGATTGCACAGGACAGTATGTTTGTGCCTGGTTCAGGGCTTATTTTCCTGGTCCCCTATTTCCCCGCTACCTGGGGTCCAGGTGGGTTGAGCTGGAACTAAAGCCATAGAGCTGTGCACACATACCTATGACCCATAAGTTTGAGTCACAAAGTCCCTTTTGCCCAGTGTGCAATGATCAAGCCTTCATTTGCCTTCTTACTAAACTCAGAAACAGGACATTGCTGTGATCAGCTGCTCAGGATCACCAATGTGACACAGACACTGAGTGGAGGCAGTGTTTGCTTGTGCTTGGAAGCTATTCCACTATGAGGTCTTCAGCTTTGAGGGCTGTGGGGAGGAGCTCCATGGGGCAGGGCTCCTGTCTCTGATCCAGCTCCTCTTCAGGCACCTTAGGAAAAGAGTCAGGGCCACTGAAGGGCACTGGAAGGCTCCAGCCAATTAAAAACCCCTGCAGGTTGCATTTATAGCCCTCCAAAGAGGCAAGAGTGATCCCTCCTTGTGGGACCCAGGTCTAGTTCCTTTGTGCCTTGGTCTCCCCATTGACAACTTCGAGGGAAAATAGAAGGCTGGGAGGGTCCTTCCAGCAGGAGCTTGGCTGGCCTCCCTCTTTCTGGCAGAGCCAGAGCTACCCCATGCSTAGAGGCTACAGCCTCTTAGTACCACGTGGAGTCTGCCTCTACTCATCTGTCTCAGATTCCAGCTCCAGCCTCTGAGCCACAGGGAAGAGGAGCACCTGAGAACAGCCGGGAGCCAGGGGACATACCCAGGCAACATGGAGACCATGGCCCAGTGCACCAGGGTACAGATTCACAGCCTCTTAGTGCAGCTCAAGAGATTGAAGTCAGTCCCTGGCCCACAGCCAGTAAGCGGGGTAGTCCTGGCAGTAGAGGGACTGAATTGAGAGGTCTTGAAGAGCCAAGAGTGCGCAGGGATTCCTCAGGGAGGAGCAGGCTCCTGTGTTTGTGTCTGTCAGGGTTTGTGCTAGGCAGCTGCAGTCAGAGGTCTCCCTATCAGAAACCTCTCCCTGTCCCCGCCTACCTATGGGACTGAAATGTCCATATTGGCACAATGTTAAGATTTCTGACTTTCAAATAAGGCCACTTGGCCCTTTCCCAGGGCATTCTGTGGCTAGGAATAGAGCTGGGAGAGGAGTGGCCACTGGGGGTACTAGTGTCCTTGTAGGGCATCATTGGTACAGTGCCATCAATGTGCCCACCAGCACCCCCTTGGTCTTACTGCTGAAGGCCTTGGGCACTGGGCTTCAGACATTTTGGTGAGTTATTCACTTATGCCTCAGATCACATCACAATTACCATTTCACAGACAGGGAGAGAAGGGCAGTGACTTGCCCTAGGTCACACGGCAAAACAACAGCCAAGTCCCTAGCCCCCTAACCTGTCCCAGAAAGGCGTTTTCTTCTATCATACTTCATATTCTGAGCTTGATAGCACGACTGTCCTCAATAGCCACAGGCAAGTTTGGCTTAGGCTGTGTCTCTCCTTCAAGGTCATCTGGCTACTCTTCTTTACCTGAACTCCTCTCCCATTCTGCTTTGCGATTCCTCCCCTATAGAACTCTTGTCAGCCAGGCTCCATACCCAGAACCCTCCTTCCATCTACTCTAGACTGAAGTAGCATTGTGAGGATGAGGCTTCATGCCACCCTGTCCTTCTTTTCTGGGGTTTCCAAGATGCCAACCCAGATTCACATGATTGCTCCAAGGCTGGGTATCGAGCCCAACTGGCCATGTGGGCCCCTGCCTGGATCACTGATTGGAGCAGGGCTAGTCCCTCTTGGGCTGAAGACCAGACACATAAAACTTGGGACATATCAGTTGTCCTGGTTTTCACCATGTGGAAAGAGCTGGATTTCAGTGACAGTAAATGGAGAAAGTGGAATTGGGATGAAGAAATTATAGTTCATCCAAGGGGGTCTCATGCATGGAGAAGACAGACATCCCCAGTGCTGCTCCCAACTAGCCTTCTGCCTCCCCCTTCAGTCCTCTAGCCTCATATAGCCCCAACTCCTGTATGTCTCCCTGACACACAGAGGACCCACCCCCAGTGAAGGGAAGGCCAGGGGCTTGTCAAAGATCACCTACCCTTCTATCCCTTTGGATATATATATTGAGATGGGGCTTCATTATGTTCCTTGGGCTGACCTTAAACTCCTGGGTTCAAACGATGCTCCAGCCTCAGCTTCCCGAGTACTGGGACTACTCCTGTGTGCCCCAGCGCTCAGCCCCTCTTGGCCTTGTCTATCTTGGATCCCTAACTCCTGTGGAAGGCCAACCACCAGCTGGGTACCCTCCCCCTGCTCTTCCTATTCTGGCTACTCCTTTGTTTCCTCTTCCCAGCAGTAATCCCAAACCTCCTTTCATAAGCCCCTCAGACACCATTTCCCCTTTCCTTCATGGCAATGACCTCCACTCCCATTTCAGAGACCTGGTAGCCTTCTTTTCCTGCAGGCAGAGGGGTAGCCTTAGGGGGTTTCCCCTTTTCTGTCATGGCAATTAGGCTAAAGTCATTCCTAGGCTTCACCACTGTGCCCTCAGCCCTCAGCTCCCAGGGAGTGTGGTCTAATCCTGGTAGACAGGTGATAGTGTGGCCTGATGAGGGTAGTTGGGAAAGCTTTTTTTGGAGCTGCCACCCAGTGACCTCTGGCTGGGGGCAGCATGGCACAGTGGAGACCAGGGGACAAAAAGTCTTGGGTGCTCTTCCTCTGTCTGGTTAGCATGCTGGCTGGCCCCTTCTTCTCCCGGAAAGGAAGCACATCAGGCAGAGTTTAAGGGGAGCTGCTTCAAGCACTTTTTTTTTGTATGTGGCGCTGGTGATCAAACCCAGGGCCTTGAATGTGCTAGGCAAGTGCTCTACCACGGAACTATACCCCCAGCCCTTTTGAGATGAGGTCTTCGCTAAGTTGCCCAGGCTAGCCTCAAGCTTGGGATTCTCCTGCCACAGCACCCGAGTTGCTAGGATTATAGATATCTTACTTCACCTGGCTTGGAAGAGCCTTTCTAAACCTGAACTCTGGTTAAAACACAGCCTCTGATTCTCAGAAGATGGTACCCAAATCTTTTAGTCTGGAGTCTTATCTTTTCCCAATCCCCCACCACTCCCACCCCTCTGACCCTTGGCACTGGCTAGTCTAACACCAGATTCTCTGATGCCACTGCATTTCCACACCCATCAGTTCCCTGCTGGAAGGGCTCTTCCTAAACATCTCTAGCTGGCTCTTCCACATATAACGGCACTTCCTGGGAAGACCTCCAGAGATTCCCAGGTGAGTTGCTCCAGCTTCCACCTTTTATGTTGTATGTTTGTATGTACGTATGTCTATATATCATATATGATGAACGCTCATAAAAAATGGATCCAAAAATTTTTTTTATTCACGTGATTTAAATGGTTTAATTTAAATTGGGTAAACAGCTGTTGAGGATTGTTTTAATATGTGAACAAAAAAGGAGGTTAACAGATCTGTTTGTTTACTTTCACCTTTCCTTTTCATTATATTTAATAGTTCTGTTCAAGATAAGGTACATTGTTAAGAAAATTGTTTTCTTTTAGTGCCTTCTGGAATGTTACATAATTTTTTCTTTAGCCATTATTGCCAGAATTCCTATCTTCATCCCAGTGCCGGTGAAGACAAAGATAAAACCAATCTACAGCTTCTGCAATAGCCATCACTGAACTGCTTGCAGAACTTGCCTGGACTATGTATCACTTGTATGCATTGTGAACTCACTTGTATGCATTGTGAATATCTGTTGGTGCAGCGACTTGTGGTAGTGTTGGGGTATTTTTGCTGATGGTGTCATCGGTGGTACAATTTTTCCAAAAGGAGCCATCAATTGACTTGGTGTATCTTCCTCCCTTCTGCTTGTCATGGTCGTTCAGCTAAAATTTGAGGGCCAACAGAGGTGAGGCAAAGAACCTCACCCCCCCCCCTGCTGGTAGTACAAAGACCTATCCACAGGTGTGACTGTATGCTGGACCGGTAGTCAATGATGGGTAAGATCCAATTGCAATGGAAGTTGGTCAGGCAGTTTTTTCCCTGAACATCCTCAGTAATTAGCTTGAACTTCCTAAACGCAACTTCATCATTCTGCAGATCAACAAGACTCACTTCAAATACCCGACCCTTGAGGCCATCAGAAGCAATTTTGGTTCCCTGGGTCCTGGTGACTAATGTTTTTCCAATATTTCTTATATTGAACATTGCCGGTGCTTTCACATCATACCAATCTTTCTTAGAAAATGGATCAACCACTTCTTGGCTCCCTTCTTGCCGCCTTTTGTAAGGCGCTTGTTCTTGCCTACTGTCATGGTGCTGCTCAGAGAGCCAAAAGGACCTGTCCACTGTCGACTGTTCATATAGAGTCCGTGTTATACCACATCCCAAAGAACAAGTCTTTGTCTAGATGCTGTGTCTTTTCCCTTGGCATCTCATCTAGCAGTTCAGCAGGAGCATGCTAAGCTAAAGAGGTGATCCCCTGGCCCTATGCCTGTCAGGACAATGAGGTAACCCTAATGGAATCAGCTTTGATGACTACCCAATGATAGAGTACACTGCTAAAACAGCCGATAACCTGAGAGTAGATGCTCTGGGGATGAAAGGTGAGCAGTGCAGGGGAGAAGGTTCAGAGAAGCCAGGGGACCAGAGAAGCAGCTCCCTTGCTCCCTTTTCACTCTGAAGGACCTCACACCGTGCAAGAGTCACTCAAAGCAACAGAGAGACCTGCTTGTGAAGAGGTAGAGTTTTATTGAAATATAAACATTCAAGAACATGTAAGATAGAAAATAACCACAACATATAGACACTTGCTGCAAGAGGATGTCTGAGGTATTTATTCACTGCCTAGGCTACCCATGTGCTATCACATTTTTCCTGGTTAAAATACATATAAGATGGGAAAGGGGAGGGGACAGAGTTGCTCTGGCCAACTGCCTCCCATGTGGCCTTCAAGGACTGAACCTCCAGGGAAAGCTCTGCTTGGGCCAGAGCGTGGATGCTGGGGCACCAGCTAGTGCCTCTACTCTCACACTTTCTGGCTGAGCCCCTGCTGCTGGCCTTAGGAAAGAGTGAGGGCACTCGGAGGGACAGATCAGCATGATGCCTGAGGAAAGGGAAAGGGTTCAATGCCAGAAAAACCCAGTGCACTGACCCTGCATCTTCTGGGTGGGAAGAGTCCATTCTTTTGTGACCAAACCCTGAGAAAGATACGTTGGCCAAATGTCTGAGACTCTCTCAAGTGGGCCCAGAATCAGCCACCTGGGCTTCTCACTGGCACCAGATTCCAGATGCCCTTCTCTGCCCACACCTGGCATGTGCCTGGCGGGAGAGGCTTCTGAGGCCAGAGGGGCTGCCCCCAGGGGATGGGCTGTGCCCATGTGTATGAGTAAATGTGTGCGAAAATATGCGAATGTGTGTAAATGTGAGAATGCATGTGTGTACATGTGTGAACACGTGTGTGCACACATGCACAGATGTGTGGAAGGCCGGGGGAGGGAGGAGGAGATGCAGGTCAGCAGAGCGGCTGCTTACCAGGTTGAGGTATGTCTTGCGTGCAAGCTTTTGATTTCCCTTTCTTTCCCTAGATAGGACCAAGTATAGGCCATGCTGTGATCTCCACTGCCACCACCCAGGGAGTTCTTGTGGGTGGTGTTCCAGTGAACTCTTTTGGCCGAGAGGCGAGCCTTGTGCAAGCATCACGCCTTCTTTACCACACAGGAGCAGCGGGAGCCAAGAGAAGAGAAGGAGCTCTCTCAGCATTTCCTCGTTCCCTGGGTAGCTTGGCCACCAGCAGGGCCCACAGCCACCTACCTCATGTCCTGAGGTGGGAATGCTGAGTGAGGAGAGATGTCCTGCCCTACCCTGTCAGCTGGAGCAGAGGGCGGCAGAACACAGGAGTCAAGGCCCTCTTCAGAAGCAGCCAGCAAGAGTGGGCCTCTCCATCTGCCCCTCCCTCCCACCACAGTGATCCCTGAGTCATCCCACCTGCTCCCGCCTGGCCTGTGGGCTGGGGCCCGGGCAGGGCTGGAGGGGCTGGCTACTGAGCCAGGGCTGGCTACTGAGCCTCATCTGGCTGGGGTGATCCGCTCTCATTTCTTTGGTGCTACAACAACAGCAACAACAATAACAATTTAAAAATAAAAAACAAAAAGTCAGCAAAACACATATAAAAAAGATTTCAGAGATGCAAATACTTCCTGAAGAATCAAACATCAACAATTACAAATCTGAGGTATTTCAGTGAACCTGACATCAGCACATCTGGGGCTAATGGGGCTCAGATGGCCCCAAGAGACGATGACAGGAGCCAGGGACAAATGGGTTGTCTTGGGAGTGCTGGCCAACAAGGGCAAGTGGGGAGCCTGAGGTTTGGGAGGGTCAGAATAGGATCCGTATGAAGTGGGTGCCAGGGCCTAGGCAGCCTAAGCTCTGCTTCTCTTCAGCAGCTGCCTGGAGGCCCTGGGACTGAAGTCTGTTCTCACGTGCTCTTTCTCAGGCCCTTTAAAAGGGGATATAGGATCCTGAGTACTGATTCATGACTTGGATTTGAGGGACCCACCCTCCAGGAACCAAACAGTAGGCTAGGTGGGCTGGGAGGGCCCCATCCCATGCTCTGCAGACAAGAGCCAGGAAGGCACGCTCTTGGCTCCTAGCAGCACCACAAGGGATTTTAAAACTGGGGGACTGGGTCAAGGAAGAGAGCAGTGGAGTTGGGGTGATGGTAGAAGGCAGGGAAAAGGAAATAAATTAAAGGGGAAGGGATATGGAGGGCCTCCAGCCCTGTGTCGGCTTTCAGATTGTCGATACACTGTGACCCGGGATGGGAGGTGGCCGGGGAACCCTAGAGAAAGCTGGACACCCAGACCTCTGCCCAGTTCTCCAGGTCAATCCCTGATTGGACAACGCTGACCTGTCCCACCCTCTAGCCTCTCCCTGTCCCCAGAGAACAGCAGGACCTGAAAGGAGCCTGGACAGACGGTCATGTCCAAACTCTCAACGTCTGGCCAAATGGTGTTTGATGTGGGCTCCATGAGATGAGGTAACTTCTGTGCATCAACTTCCTTCACTCTCGGCAGGAGTAGGGAGTGGGGAGCTGGGTGCTGCCCGTCAGAGGGACCAGCTGGTGGAGGGCTCTGCACTGGGGGTGCCCCGTGATGAGGTAGGACTTGGTGAGCAGTGAGAGCTGCTGCTGCTGGCACTGCTGCCAATGCTCTGGGGAGCAGAGCCTGCAATGAGGTGGACCACTGGTTTCTGGGCAAACAGCACACCTAGGGTGGGGAGGAGAAACAGTGTGGGCTGAAGAGACAGCGGACTCAGTTCAACAAGGACTGACTGACTGCAGGTCTAACCCTAAGTATGCTCTGCTCTCCATACAATGCAGGGTGCCAACAGAAGCCCAGACACTGTCCTGCCTTCCTGTGCTCACACACTGCTAAGGGGACAGAGAAGAAACAGTAACTTCGCTAGAACATTACAAATGCTCTGAGACCAGTGTAGCCAGTGTTGTGGGAACACTGGAGAGGGTTTGGAGAGCAAGGGAGGGTAGGATGTAAAGGATCCAGCAGGAGAGTGAGCCTGGACTACTGGAAGCGGGAAAAGTGGCCAACTGAAGAAAAGCATGGCCAGAGAATCTGAGACACAGACACACCAGGGAGAGGTGCAAACTGACAAGGGCTGGTTGAAGTGTGTGGGACAACCAAGGGGTAGTGATGGCCAGGGCTATAGCAGATGGGGTTGGAAAGATGCTCAGGCAAGGTGGTGTGGTTTGCAAGGGCCATGGAGGCCCTGAAAATTTTGGGCAGGAGAGGGATATCAGAGTATTCTTTGGGGAGTGAGAGGAACCTGGGTGAGAGAGGAGGGGAGGCCTCCAGGGACTCTACTTTAGTGGTGCCAGCAAGGACAGGGGAGGAGCTGGAGAAGAGAAAAGCACTAGGAGGGTGGGGAAAGGCCCTATGCTGGTGGTAGGTAGCCCACCAGAGACCTACAGCATGGGGCCTGTATGGTGGTGCAGCAGAACAGAAGCATTCAAACAGGCAAAGCCCTGGGAAAGCACCTCCAGTTGTTTGTTGTTGTTTTTGGAAGTGGAGATTTAATCCAGGGGTGCTTTAGCACAGAGCTTCATCCCCAGCCCTTTTTATTTTCTCAGACAGGGTGTCACTAAGATTACAGGTATGCACCATCACAACCAGCTACACCCCCAGTTTTGATAGAAGGTGCAGCTGTAGGGTTTTAAAGCCTCTGTACTGGATGCCTCTCCAGGCTGGCTGACACTCTTTTACATCCTGGGTAAAACAGGCAAGTGACACCTAGCCCAGGCCTTGTGGCCCCTAATGATAGTTGTACTTACCAACACTCAGCTGGACTTGTTCCCAAGGTGGTCCCTAAACCACTGGAATGGCAGTGGAAAAGAACTGCTGTTTCTATGAATATGAAGCTGAACACTTTAAAGAGGCTCAGTAAAGGTACAAAACCAACCAACAAACAAAAAACTGTTGGTAAATTTGGTTTAGGAACAACTGAAAAAGACTGGGGAAGAAACCATAAAAATGTAGATTGATTGTGCTGCAGTTAGACTCCTTTGCCAGGGTCTCAACCCATGGTCCATTTTAAAGAAAGGGAATGACACATAATGTAATATGAGTGTGTGTTATGGTCAGAGAAAGGAGATGCATGTATTGCAAGACCCATTCTTGGTGGGCACTAACTTAACTTGTAAGTTACTACAATGTTTAAAGGCACTAATGTAGTATTGATTATGAATCCTCACATAAATGATTTCTTCAATTAATCTACCAACCATCAACCAAAAAAGAGTTAGATGAAGGGTATCTGTCAATGTTGGGGGTGGCATCCTTCAGCATCCTTTATTCTTCTGTAGTCCAGAAGAACCCCTTTACCTTTGGAACTGAGACAATGTGAAAGGAAGCAGGGCCAGTCAGGGAACTGAACTGCTACTGGCTGCCACTGTGTGGGCATCTTCCGGGACTCTAGGGCCTACCTGCATAGGTGGTGCCATCGATGTCCACAGACATGTTAATGCTCCCAATGCTGCTTGTGGTCAGGTTCAGGGCTGCAGTCGAGGCATCTGCTCTGTCTTCTGGTGGTGAAAGGGAGAAGCAAGTCTGGTCAAGCCTCCTATTATGCTCCTACTGTTCTCTCTGGTGCTTCCTGGCAACCCCTGACTCAAGCCCTCACACCATTAGAAAGCACCTACATAACATAACCACCTCCTGAACACACAGTGTGAGAGGGAACCAGGCTCAGTCAGCTTCCCACTACTGACTTTCTCCAGTGAACCAGTTCTTTCTTTCTTTTTTTTTTTTTTGGTACCAGAGTTGAACCCAGGGGCACTAAACCACTAAGCCACACTCATAGTCATTTTATTCAGACAGGGTCTTGATAGGTTACTGAGGCTGGCTTTAAACTTGTGATCCTTCTCCCTCAGCCTCCCAGGTCACTAGGAGAACAGGCATGTGCCACTGCACCCAGTTACTCAGTGAACCAGTTCTTTTCCCCTCTGCTCTTGGAGAGAAGGGATCACAGTCAGCAGGCAGGCTGGCCAGTTCTACAGTTGTGCACTAATACTCTTGGGGTGATTTGGCAAACTATGAGTACCCATTAGACACTGGGTATAGGAAATCAGAGACCAACAAAACTCAGCCTTGACTCTTGAGGATTTACCCTGTCCCTTGCCCCTTGATTGTAAATCATCAGGGTTAGATGTGTATGCTCTCAATACTTGGTCAGCTAGCACATAGGGACTCTGTCTCTGCAACACACAGAGCACCAAGAATTCTTCCAAGTGAGCTGCCTTTCTGTTAGTCTCTGGCTTTGTACAGGAACAGGGCGGCAGGCCCCTGAAATGGCTGTTACCATCTAGCTTCCTTCTGCTCCTCACCCAGGAACAGTGGGTAGGGATTGGCTGCCCTGGAATCTGCACTAGCTCTCTTTACACCTGCCTCCTTCCAGGACATGCTTATGCATGTCTGCTGTGAGACAGAGTCACAGCAAGAATGGCAAAGAACAGGTGTGTGAGGGGAAAGGGGAGAAAGAGGAATAAGGAAAATGGAGATAGTTTTTTGGAAAAAGAGAAGGTGGGCCACTAGAAAGATGTAGAGGGGAAGGGGAAAGATGTCACTTATGTCGCCAAACTTGTATTTCCTACTTTTTATTCCTGATGGCCTCCAGCACTCTGATGTTTCCCTGCTGACCTTTTGTTGAGCCTTAGGAACAACAAGTGTATTTTCCTCCCAGACCAGAAGGCCAGACCACAGTACCCTGCTCTGGCCTATATCCTGTGAGGTACAGGGGGGTAGGCCAAGCCCTTTAATTTAGACAGATCAAAAGGTGGGTGGGGAAGAGAAGTACAGCAGCTGTCTTTGACTTCCCAGGGCACTGCCTGAAGCAACTTCTGGTTCTCTAGAAAACCTCAGCTTGATGAACAGAGATATTAGTTGCCAAAGAAACTCCATGTGGTTCTCTTTTGGGACCTGGAAGGCAGATCTGAAGGGGCCCCTTCTAGGTCAGGATTATGTACTTTACCTCACTGCCTGCCTGGTCCCAGGAGATGTGAATGAAACTCTAATGGAGTTGGGTTTGGCACGTATCAGGAAGGGAAGACTGAGCCCTGAGCCTGGCACTCACCCCTGCCATTGATCTTAATCTTCATGGGGAGCTGCCGTGCCATGCTGAAGAAGTTGCGCTGGAAGGCCTGCTGTACCAGGCGCTGCTCCTCCTCTGATAGCCTTGAAGCCTTCTTCTCAGGAGGCTCTCCTGACTCCAGTCGCTCTCGCAGCTGCTCTAGTGTGGCAGTCCGGGTACTGGCCTGCTGGCTTGCCAAAGTCAAGGGCACAGCCAGGCGATTTGGCACGGGCACTGTAGTCATTGGGACTCCATCACCTGTGAAGGAAGCGGAACTAGACCAATCCACGATCACCCTTCCCACCCAACAACCCCATCTTGGGACACAGAGAAACTGGGCTCCCTTCTTTCTTCCCTTCCCTCTTCTCCCAAGGGCCCTGCTGACCTTTCCTGAGAGTGGATGCTGGGGATATCCGAGGGCTACTGGTATTGGTGCCACTGCTGGAGCCAAGCCCAAGGATGGGGAAGCGAATCTTGGGTGGTGAGAGAAGGGCTGGAGCCCCAGTAGCGGCAGCAGTAGCAGCAGCAGCAGGTGAGTAGCCAAAGAGAGAGGAGCTGTAGCTGGGCCGACGGCCCTCTCTCCGGTTGCCATCAATGGCTGCCTGGAGCTCAGCTGGAGAGCTCAAGGCTTTCTTCTCACACTCATAGGCATAGAGATACTTCATATACCTGTGGGGAAGGAAGCAAGCAAGAAGAATAACACAGAACAGCCCGACATGTGGGGCCTGCCTGTAATCCCAGTGGCTTAGCAGGCTGAGGCAGGAGGATCATGAGTTCAAAGCCAGCCTGAGCAACTTAGTGATGTACTAAGCAATTCAGTGGAACCCTGTCTCTAATAAAATATAAAAAAGGGGTCTGGGGATATAGCTCAGTTGGTAGAATGCTTGCCTCACATGCACAAGGCCCTGGGTTCCATTTCCAGCAGCACAAAAAATAAGTAAACAATTAAACATACAAATAAATAAATAAAAAGGGCTGGGGGTGTGGCTCAGTAGTTAAGAGCTCCTGGGTTCAACCCCAGTACCAAAACAAAACAAAACAAAACAAAACAAACAAACAAAACCCAAACAAAACCCAGAACACAGCATCAGAGACTGCCCAGGCAAAGCTGATGGGTTTCTGGAAGCAGCCTCTGTTAGGCAAGCTCTAGGGCACGTTGGTGTACTTAGTGGAAGAGAAAAGTTTGGGATCACTGGACATGCTGATTTAAGGCCCCTTTAACTGCTACTTAATTCTAAACATTGCTCAAATCTGAAGCACTGGTCATTAAGGGAAATCAGCAACATCTTAACTAACATTTTCACATTTGTTTTGGTGCCTTTTCAGGGCCCTGAGAGAAATGAGGTCCCTTGTGGAACAAGTGCTGTTTGGGAGGCAATATTCTGGAAAGAGTGTGGATTTTAGAGATAGACACCCAGGCCTAACTCCTTGATCTTAACATTTTGATAGATAGAAACACTTCTTCCGCTGTGCTTGGGACCTAGAAGTAATGTCCTTCTTTGTGTCAAGTGCCCCAAGAAGTAATTCTCTCCCTACAAACCTTGCTATTCTGGTCATTGCTCTGTTCCCAACTTCTACTGGAATAGTGCCAACAGATAAGATGCTTCTATCTTTCAACAAGAGCATGACATACTACCAAACTGATGTGTCAGCTGTTCATTCCCTATTCTTCACATAGCAACTTCCAGAGTGTTCCCAAAGAACAGATTCCCCTCTGGCCTTCATTCTCTAGTGCTACTTGTGGTTCTACTGCTTCTGTGACTTTTGAAACTAACTCAAATAGTGACAAAAATAGGTCGTGATACCATGGAGCCTGACTGCAAGCTGAGTGTCAGGTAAGAAGGGCCACTTGTGGCGCAAGTGCTGTTTGGGAGGCAATACTCTGGAAAGAGTGTGGATTTTAGAGATAGACAGACACCCAGGCCTGAATCTCAGCTCTACCACTTATTGGCTGGTATAGCCTTGACCAAATCATTCAACCTCAAAGACTTAGTTTTTATAATATAGAAATTAGGGAAATGTATACTTCACAAGACAGAGGTTTAAATAAAAGAGAATGGTAAAGTACCAGTACACAGAAGACCCTGGGTTAGGGCGACTCTCACTGTTACCTGGTCTAGTGTGAGATTCATCTCTAAAGCTCCTCACTGTTTCAGGAATTCCATTCCTCCCTCCTCCAGCTCTGGACTAAAACATCCCCTTTCTCTAGCTTCCACCTCCTTCCCCAGCCCTGGTCACTCACTGGGTCCTGAGGGTAAAGGCGGCGCTGGTGATAGATGTGGGCAGGTTCAGGCCTTTGGTGATTTCCCTCCAGATCTTCTTGTTAATGATCTCCACCAGGCCCCCCTTCTCTGTCACCAGCTTATACAGCATGTATAGATCCAGGATCTGCTTGGCCATGATGGGGATCCGGTTGATGGGGGTCCCTGTGATCATATAATAAGAGAAAGACAGGGCTGAGAAAGATGCCTGCGTATGCTCACACTTAGCTGAGTTGGAAACACTGTTCATGAATCTGCTTAGAAGTGTGATTTAACTCAAATTCCCCAAACCTGAAAGCTGTCAGACTAGCTGTTGATTCTCTTTAGGATGAGAAGGACAGGTCCAACTCCCAGGGTAAGTGGCCTTAGGCAAGACACTTAGCTTCTCTGGATCTGTTTTCCCATTTGTAAATAAGAGGGCAGGACTAGATGAATTCAGTGGGGTTGACTGTTTGCAATACAATTCCAGATTATTTCCTAATGATTTGGCAATTTATACTCCTCTGGAGCATCTGGACTCTACTCAGGGGCTGCTTCCTCTGGCAGGCCTTATCCTGACTCCCTGGAAGGAGAGGCCCTTCCTGATCATACACCTGGCTAGAACCTTGTTACTCCCTGGTAGCAGTTTGTTAATAGTATATTCCTTTGCATACTGCCTGCCTACTTCTCCCCTCCTGCTACAGGATGGAGACATGGTTTCTTTCTTTCCTGTGTGCCTCACCATGTCAAAGGAGCTGCTGGACAAACAGATCTCCAGGGGAATGAAAAGCCACTCAACAATTCTCTTTCCACTAATCACCCCACCCCCTCTGTGGCCTCTGAAAGAGGGAGGGTCAGAACAGCTTCCGCCCAATAGCCCCGAGGGGAAGTGAGAGGAGCCAGGGACTTGATTAGGAAACCTGGCACCGGGCAGGAAGGGCTACTAATGAGCACCAGGGGATGGAAGGGAGGGCGGTACTGGGGTCCCTTCACAGCCGGCTGGGATGCTCGTCAGGAGGCGTGATGGATGACTGTCATTTGGCAGCCCCGGGATTAATGATCTATAGGTCAGAGGGGAGAATTCCACAGGGAAGGGTCACCGTCCAGGGCAGAGTATAAGACTTGTTGCCTTTTGATGGCAAACTCCTTTTACTGTACACAGGCTGCTGCTGCTTTTCGTGTACCTCCCCTGCCTGCCCCCATCTCACTGAGGACACACTGAGCTCTCTGGTGGTGTCACAACAGCTTGAGCGGGGGGGGGGGGGGGGGGGGGGGGGGGGCGGGGGGGCGGCGGCTATTTGCTGCTCTGCTTCTCCCGCTCTCTCCCCTAAAGGCAGGCCAGTTTTCTTTTCAGTCCTAAGCATCAAAAGCCAGAGAATGGAGTCAAGGGTCCCACATTTCTGAAGAGGGAGAATGTGGTAATGCTATGGCAGGATCACACCTCTTTCCTAAGAGTGGGAAGGAGTGACCAATCTTGAAGACCTTTGTCTTGACCAGTGGTCTTTCAAGAGTCAAGGACAAAGGGATCATGGAGTTAGACTGAAAATATTCATAGGTAAAATATCAGCGGATTACTGATATACTCAGACACAACAGTTCACAAAGTGGTTAACATCTCCCCATGCTGTTGTGGACAGTGAACCTCACTCCTACCACAAAGACAAAAGCCTGATGTGGCAGAATTGATCTCCTAGCAGGACAGGGCTAACACTACTTCCTTCTGGAGGCCTGTATGCCCAAATATACTTATGGCTTTGATAAATACACAGCTTCCATGGCATTTCCTGAAAGTCTGGGAGGACCACTCCCAAGGTTCCTTCACATAGGCCTCCTAAGCTCACATTTCCAGAAGCTTCCAGGGCATCCTCACATGTGACCTATTCACTTCCAAGTCAGAATGTGGGTATGACCTCACTTTTATCTCTCTAAACTAATTCCTTTCCCCATCACTTCTTCTGTCCCTAACCCCCACTGTTCTTTTTTTTTTAAATTTATTTTTTAGTTGTAGTTGGACATAATACCTTTATTTCACTAATTTATTTTTATGTGGTGCTGAGGATTGAACCCAGGGTCTCGCACATGCCAGGCGAGTGCTCAACTCCAGCCCAATACCACTGTTCTTATAGGTTAGGCAGGAACCTCAAAGTCAGCACTAACTCCTCTTTTCTCCTTATTACCCACTTTTAGGTTGTTAGGAGGCTCCACTGATTCACCCTTTGAAGTTCCTTTCGTAGGCATATTCCTTTCTGGCTAGTAGCATACCACCCATGTTCCCAATACCCAGTTACAGATCATCTATAAAGTACCACATTTCACTGCTGCCGACATGAGTCTTCTGTGGATCCAAATCTTGCACCAAAACAGTTTAGTAATATTGATTTTAAGTAATACTGGCACAATTTTACTATAAAAAAAAGCTTCACATAATGGTAAAAAAAAAGACATAAAATCTACCACAATTATGGGGTGAAATATGGTATTTGAGCACATACTGACAACTCCTTTCATTCCAGTCAGCTGGGATTTCTCACCATGCTCCTTGGGCCACAGTGACTTCTGCTTCTCCAGCACTGTCCCTCCTCAGCCCTGAAATGACCTGCCTCCACTCAACCCTCAACACTGTCCACTCCCTCTAGAAAGAACTGTCCAACTACCCTAGTTCACATGGATTCCTTCCCTCAGGAATTTCTGTGATACCCTTCCAAATTTGGCAATTATTCTATAAATAAGGTTCACGTATGCCATGTAGTATCTCAGGAGGACTGTTGGCTGTGTGAAGCAGGGACAGTCTTTCCTTTGCCACACCTTGAATATTATTGTGGCTAATAAATAAGCCTATTATTCAGATTAAGGGAAAATGCTTCTCAAGGTATTCAGCTCTGTGGTAACTCAACTAGGAACCTTAAAACACATGCTCGTGCTTGTGGGAGGACAGCTGAGATTCAGTTTTGAGTGTCAAATGCCCCAACAGAGGTCACCTTCCCCTTTCAGTCTTAAAAAGGTCTCATTCATTCATTTTTTGGTACTGGGGATTGGACCCAGAGGCACTGAGCCACATCCTCAGCCCTTTTTATTTTATTTATTTATTTTTAACTGTATATGGACACAATGCCTTCACTTTATTTTTATGTGGTGCTGAAGATCAAACCCAGTGCCTCACACGTGCCAGGTAACGTTCTACCCCTGAGCTGCAACTCCAGCCCCTCTTTTTATTTTGACACAGGGTCTTGCTAAGTTGCCTATGGCTTCATTAAGTGGCTGAGGCTGGCCTTGAACTTGTGATTCTCCTGCCTCAGCCTCTTGACTGGTTGTGGTTACTGGCATGTGCAACCACACCCAGCAACATGGGTTAAACCATCATTAAATCATTATTAAACAGCTGGGGGAACTGGAGGCAATCACCCAACTGAAGAGAGCTCTCTGAGGGTCACTGGTGTTGGTCCTGCAGTAAACCAAATCTCCACCCCCAACATGGAAGGTGAGGGGAGTGGAAAGGTGGGTGCAGAACACCAGATGGGGAAGCCTGTAGACTGTCAGTCACTGCTATCAAAGCAGGAGCTAGGATTGAGGGCTCAGAGGGCTTAAGTGCTGTGCTGCCAGGTCCCACAGTACAAGACTAATCACAGGTAAAGAATGGATGGAGAGTAGGGGATTTTGAGATCCCAGTTTGAGATTCCAATACAATGGGGTAAAAAAAAAAATGGAAAGATATTAAGAGTATATGTGGCTGGATTTGTGAGTACACAGAGCAGTTGTGGTTGAGGATTTTTTAAAAAAATATATATATTTTTTAGTTGTAGGTGGACACAATATCTTTATTTTATTTTTATGTGGTGCTGAGGATTGAACCCAGTGCCTCATGCATGCTAGGCGAGCGCTCTACCACCGCGCCACAACCCCAGCTCATGGCTGAGGGTTTACAGCACAGCAGGGTTTGCCCAGCTGAGGGAGTACCATTTATTAGACCACCTTGGAGAGACATACCATACAATTTTAGAACTCCATGTATTAACAGCTTTCAGACTTTGCATTATTTTCTTCGGGATCTCTTTGCAGTGGTAAATTGTCAAATGTAGAGAATACATTATACTTTTAGAAATGGTCATCATTCATTTGGAAGCAAGCCAAGTGAACAGGATGAAGGGATCAGGATCCCTTCATCCTGAAAGGATATTTATACTATTTTTTACCTTTATTTATTTATTTATTTTTATGTGGTACTGAGGATCGAACCCAAGGCCTTGTACGTGCTAGGCGAGCACTCTACCGCTGAGCCACAACCCCAGCTATACTGTTTTTTGACTGAAGAGGAGATGTGGACATCTAAGACAGACTTTCCAGTGTAGCTCAAACTGTCTGTAAGGGCAACTCCCCAGAGAGGAATGACATGTTCATTCTGAATAGTCAATGGACTAAATGTTCAGCCATTTGAGACAGCTTCTTTGAAGAGTAACACTGTTACAGATGTAGAAATTTTGTTAAAAATTAGTCTCTCTATAACCACCCAGAGTGTGACTGTATTAGAATGAGAACTGCTTAGGGAAGGGAAATGGTAAATGCAGAATCTGAGAAGACAAGAAGGGTCCAAGTGGTGTTTGAAGTCCAGGCTATAAAATGGCTTCTCCCAGAACCTGCAAAGGGAGAGCAGCCATTCCTGGGAATCATCTCCTCATACCAGAGCGCTGCAGCTAATGCAGGGACACCCTGGTAGTGGCCCCTGCAGCCAGTCCCACCCTGGGTATACTGGGATCCTGCTTTCCCTCATTCCACCTCACTGCACATGGACCCCTCTGGTCAGGCACTCTGGTTCCAGAGATCAAGTCAATAAGGGAATCAGTCTGTCTCCTCTGTTAAAGGGTTAAAGCAGCTCCCGGGGCAGGTTGGCCCCTGAGCACTGTCAGAAACACAGCTGAGGCCACCCACTTGGTAACTCTAGATGACAATATGATTTTTGCACATTATCTAGACAATCCAGATACAAAAAATCTGCCCTGGCTTTAATTCTTCTGATGACCAAGATTCAACTGGAATCCTCAGGTTGGTCTATCTCAACAGTTCACCTTATGCTGAATGGACCTGGTAGTCATTTCCCTTGTCAAAGAAGATTCTTCTATGAAGAAAGCAGTACGGGGCTGGGGATGTGGCTCAAGCGGTAGCGCACTCACCTGGCATGCGTGCGGCCCAGG